CCGTGCCACCTGCTCTATGGCAGTTATGTGTTGTGGGGTGGAATAAGTGCCAGCTTCTTTCTTGATACCCTCGGCCTGTAGATGCTACTAACGCTGTTAGGGCTTGAATTACTGGTTACCTGTCACATATGGAAGGGAGTATTATAAGCTCAGATAGCCAGGTGTCCTATTGTACAAAGGGCACTCTTATTTGAAGGTATCCTCTGGTTGAAGAGCTACCCCAACCCCAACCCAGTCCATGTTGAATTTAAATAGGAAGCACAATATGGGAAGAGTGCAGGCACTTTATTTATTATCTATTTAAAACCCATTCCATCCACCACTTTGTTTATATCCCATCCTCCCCTGTGACATCTTGGGATGGCTTTGACGCCAGCCATCACCATCCTCCCCTGTGACATCTTGGGATGGCTTTGACGCCAGCCTGTGGAGAGCAGCCTGAACAGATATATTTGTTACTTGGCATCAGTCTTCCCCATTCTGGTGAGATGCCGTGTCCTTCCATTTAAATTGTAGTAATTATTTCTCAATTTTCACCTACACATAATAATTAGCATGTGTAATTTTTATGCAACTCTGCCCCTGCTTTTTTTTTTTTTTTTTGCAAGAGTCATCCTCTTTTTGATTAATGTATAGCTGTTCACTGCACTGTGAGTACATAACCTTCCATTCCATGGACCCTTAGATTATGGGATTGTTATTATGTCCAATTCAAATTACCTTTCCAGCAGAAATAGGATATTTCAACAACTTTTATCACAATGAAGAAATCAGTATCTTGCTGTTAAATATAAATACACTTTGGAATTATGTGTCTACTAAAGATTACACTGAAACAAAACACAGATGTTCAGTTATTGAAGTGACAGTTCCTAGAAGTAATTGTCATGATCCTTTGGTCAATTGTTGCTATATTATAATATTCTCTTCTAGTTTTTCATAATGTTGTTTGTTCTTTCAGAAACACTTTGTAATGTTAAAATTCTAATAAGTGATCCTGTTGGTTTTTTGTTTTGTTTTTAGTGTAACTAATAACTAGTGCTATTTTACATTGCTTATTCCAATCTTTATCCCAAGGTACATTTCTTACTTAGATTGCTTTGTTTCCTCTTCTATAGGAAAATCAAAGCTTCAATGCTTACTATTTCACACCCTTCAATGAACAACTTTCTTTTAAGCAACACTTTCCAAAGGAAGCCTATGTACTCTAGCACATAAAGCCTGTCCTAGTACTACTTTTATAGTGTGCATGCAAAGCTAGTTAAATAATTCTTCATCTTCATGAGCACACTATATAGTGGATCTGTGTTATCCCATTTTCCAGCAAGGAACTCAAGCTGAGAGGGAGTAACTTGCTCAGGACTATTCAATATTTTCTGGCTCAAGTTAGAATTGAACACAGGACTCTCTGGCCTGTTTCTCCTAAGGGCAATTTGTATTTTGGATGTGGATACCTAATGATTACATATGTATTTTCTTGATCATGAGCACAGTGTGTTTATGCAGGGTCTGAGGCTTCCATAATTAGGATACAGATGGCAGATGGCAGTAGCTGCAAGTATACTTCTCCTCCTCCTTTTAAGCAGTGTCAAATAGTGGCTTTTTAACTGAGGATTTTGTTAATGTTAGCTGATCAGACTGGCTTAAAAGTACAAATGCTGCAGAAGGCAACAGCAAACCAAATGTGCTTAGTTAGGATAATAGCCATTAAAGAAAGTGTGACTTATTTAGCAAGAAGCTGGTTCCAAACTGAATACCTCTGCTCCCTTCCTGGCTTAGATTATCAACCCTCTCCTCTAAACTGCATTTCCTTGCCTGAGGGCCAACCGTGTAGAGTATCTGACCATTCTTAGAGGTGTTCTACCTTCTTTGGCTGACATCCTATCCTGGTGAGAGTTGAGCTGAAATTTTGGGAGTTTCAATTTTCATGTCAAAATGCACGTTTTGGAGGAGATAGACTCTTTCATCATACTTCTATGCAAATTAGACCAAAACATCAAAAGTGTTTTGCTTTTTTTCATCTGGGCCCTAGATACTAATCACTGCTCAGAGCAAACTTGGTAAAAATGTCAAAGGTTCATATTTAAGGCTTTGCAGAGTTGTGCAGACTCTGAACTGAAATGAGGATACTGCCTGGGGAAGCTCTCAAGCCTTGGGAACAAGGAAGCATTGTGGTTCCTGAGCTAGTTAGTGTCTGAGCACCAGGAAGTCCGATGCTAGTCCTGCCTGTGGATCTGATTTAAGTTATGATCTGATGCATGCTTCAGCAGAAGAAAAGTCCTACAGCTCCTTACAAAAGCCTTAAAAGTTGGGACTGCTGGGAGTGGTGGGGCTATTTTTCTATCTAAGCATGTATAGGATTGTGCCCTTTCAGTCTCACGGTCTGTAGAGAATGTTTGTCTGCAAACTTTAGCTCAAGTCAGGTCACGCTTCCCTGAGCTTAGTTTTTATATGCAAGCTCAAAGAATTCACAAATATACAGAAGAGTTGACTGAGAAAGAGTTGCACCCATTCTTCCTTGCAGTTGAAAGTGAAAAGCTGCATTTTACAAGAAAGAGCATATATAAAGTCTCAAACGTTTGCTTCTTGGAGTAGATTGACATCATTTTTTTCTCCCAGTTTTATGTGTCACTTTCTCACCATTCCTGTTAAGACAGAATGGGGTGGTGTGGAGAGGCTCTTATTGGGTATACATGAGCTTTTTGCAGGTTTCATTTTCCCATCAAGATATCCACATTCACTGAGATGGAATATTAGTTTGTGTTTGCTCAAACCAATAGGCAAATTATTCAGCAACTGGGGTGGGGGAAAATGCTGTTTCATATGTGAATTATCTCTGAAACAGTTGAAGAAGATGCAACCCAGAAAATCTCTTACAGTCTCAACACAAAGAAGTGGTAAAGCCCCCGAACTAACCCCAAAGGGCCAAGGCTTGGGAAGTGCCAACAAAAGAACAAAATATCCAAATTGGCATGGTGTGGCACCCAGCTGGATCCTATCGAGCCATCTCTCCCCTCCCCATCCCCTCCCAGTGCACCCCCCACGATCATGATGCCAACTGAGGAAGAGGTGGTGGAGCACAGCCAGCCTCCATGCTGGTCTGTGGTGAGTGGGATGCACTCCCCCCTCCCCATGGACCAGCAGGAAATCTCCCGCGGACCAACACCAGTCCTCAGACTGGTAGTTGAAAATCACTGCTGTATACCACTAATTTGATATTAATTGGATCCCACCTTTCTACCAGTACTCAGCAAGCTCAGGATGAGGCCGCTGTGCTAGCAGGTCACGTGAGAGGAAGGGAGGAGAATGCTTTCAGTTTTGGGAAGTACAGCCTGCAGGAGCAGTTGAGCCTGCATGAACTCTTGAGAAGACAGGACCATCTTGGGGCCATATGACTTTTCCAGGTGCCAAAAGCAGCTGTTCAGTTAAGTTGGTTGTACCCGTTTTGCAAGTCAGAGGGTTTTTGCTCTGTGTTTGTGAAGAATATTGCACAACACTTTAATTTGAAAAATATGTGCACTTGTTTCCCCTCCAAAAAGTTTTTTGGCATTCCACGGGACCGTCCATTGCCCAGCCCTTGCCCCAGCCCCGGATCCACCCCCAGCTGTCTAACAGGAAGGGCTATAAAGGGAGTCTGGCTCAGCTCTTGCTCGCTTGGGACAAAGGTACTTATTTGGGCCTGACTAGGGCTATAGGAGAAATCTGCATCAGACCCAAATGAAAATCTAAGATCTCATACATCTCGCAGAAACTGGATTTTCCTGATTTGGGCAGATTCCGCAAACTTGTGGACTGCTCATTTTACATAATGTTATGTCAATTTAGTTGTAGCCAAATTAAAAAAGGACCTAAATATGTCCTTCTCCCATTGGTTAAAGCGTAAAAGTGTGCATTGGGGGATTTGTGTTTTTGGGGACAGTTGCACAGTTTCAGGAGTAGGAATTTACACAACTCCAGATCTGCACAAACATGTACAAACTCATTTTGTGTGGGTGTATGACAGAATGAAAGGCATCTGACAATCTGCAAAACATGGTAGAGCAGATTTTACAATGTCCATGCAACCGTGGTGGTAACTGTAGGATTCCACAAGTCCATTTTGACTAGGCTAGAGAACGTTAGCATTATCCATAGTATCACATACCCGTTCCATTTAACAAATCCTATCCAGAATATTATATTTGTTCCCATGCAATGTTAATTAACTATATGAATTAATTAACCGCGGGCTCATCAAAAGGCACAATCTGTCTGAAAGTGGAAGGGAATGTAGGACAATATAGTACATGATAAGAGTAAGGCTACTGAAATAATGATGTATTTTTAAAAGATACTCATTTTTCACACTTTCATAGAGTAGTACTGGTACATGGCATTGGGACAATGTCATATGTACTGTGTATTTTCATGATTCCAATTAAATTTTTCAAAAGCAAAAATATTTAAAAAGCAAACCATTATTAGATACTGTGGCTTTCTGACATATTTTCTGACATATTTTCGAACAACTTTCCTCAGCTTAGTGCTATCTGGATGCGTTGGGCTATAGTTCTCATCATCCCCAGCTAACATGGCCCTGTCAAAAGCTTTTTTGGACACCACAGGCCCATCTAAGGACGATTGAGCTCCATTATGGTGGCTTTCAAAGAGAGCTTGAGATCATGTGTTGTACAGACATGAATTCAGTGTTACAGAAATGGGCTCTGCTCTCCAGTCAGTCTTCAGCCAGCAGTGCTGCTGTTTTCTTTCTGTGAGCTTTCAAGCATGATTATCTTTTCACGAGAAACAATGGAAAGAAAATAAAAATTTGATGGGCAAACATTCCCTTTTCAAAGATCTGGTCTGGGATCTTTCTCACCTATAAAGTAGAGAAAGAGATCTAGAATCTTCATGTTAGTAAAGGGAAAAAAATCAAAGCTTTCCCCCACCCCTCACAAGTCTTCTATCATTAAAATCTTGTTCTAACAGCCGAATACTTCTTTTTCATGTGTGTTGGAAAGCAGCTACACCATGTATCAAAGCCATCAGTCCAAGTGAAGGATGGACTACAGGAGGTGCCACTGTCATCATCATAGGAGACAATTTCTTTGATGGGTTACAGGTCATATTCGGCACCATGCTGGTCTGGAGTGAGGTAGGTGTTGTCTGCACATTAATATCCAGTAACTTTGTCTAGTTTATAGCCAGCTTTTTTCCCCTCTTAGGCCCTGTTCTATTGCAGTAACAATGGAAGTACTTTCCAATTCCTCCCATTTTATAGAAATAAAACATTGGAGATACCTGTGGCACATAAATTGTGTCTCTGATTCTATTCATATTTTGAGATCTATCCAGTCCACTGATTCTCTAAATTTAATTATATGTATAAAAATTTCTGCAAATAATCTTATTATAAGGAACCTCTCTACAAAGAACCCCACTGGAAATCTGAGTCACCAGTAACTCTAATAAACTGGACATGTAACCTCTAAGGAATTCTTCAAAATCCATTTGAGTGTAATAACTTTTACTAGGCCAACTCATAGTCACAGAAATGTCTAAGTTTCTGAGATTTGCAAATCTTTTCATCAGGAAGAGGTTACAAAAAGCTGAAAGGGAAGGAAGAAGGAAAAATAAAGACCTTTTGTTGCGCTCATGATGTTGCAAAGGCAGGGACTTAGGGAAATGAGCCATTGTTTGATGCTCTCTTGTTCTAGCAGTCCTAGGGTACATCCAGGTGAAACCTGAAACCATCACATCCCCTGATACAATTCACTTTGAATATCTGCAGACCCTTCTCTCCCACTGCATCTTAAGACACTGGACATACAAGACAGGGTGGTTTCAACATCAAATCCACCCTTTTTCTCCTCCTCCCAATTTCTGCTTTTTGTAGAATTTTGCCTGGTGAAGAGATCAGGAGATCTTAGGAGCTTGCTCATTTTTTGTGACCTTGAGTTGGTATAAATAAATGAATTATCCTAGTGTGGATTGTGGATTTTTTTTCTTATGGCCAACATGACTACTTTGTGTTGTGATGTTTAAGACACTTCAGTCTTTTTTTCCTTAACCAGACTGACACCATACTCTTAATGCCACTGTATCCCTAACCTATTTAATCTGTTTCTGCATTATTTCTGTGGAACTTTCTTTTTTAATTGTCCATCAGTTTATGCCCTTTCACAAACTGGTGTAAGTTTGTATCCATATTTACTCAGCCATCACAGGTGACAGAGCTGTTTAAATTATGTATTCCATTCCAATAGTAGTTGTATTGACTATAGTGGAACTCTGTAAAAAGTGATTTGAAAATTGCCTTTGGAGGCCATTTCAGTGTGTAGGTACTCACATGGTGTAAAACCCCCCACCACATACACATCGACAAGTCCATATTAGATCACTTATGTAAGTGTCTCTTGTCCTGAAAGCACCCCATATGTGGAGACCCCGTGAAACAGAGTAAAAGCTTCCAAACAACAGTATCCTCAGATGTGTAAGAGCTTCATGTGGAGGGGGATTTTTATGTGCTAGAAAATTCATACAAGCAACTCTCTACCCTCAATTCATATTTGAAAAAAAAGTCAAATGTCAACTGGCAGCAAAGCTCTGGTTGTTAGGCAATATGGTGGGGAAAATTCTGACAAAATGAGTGAGGAGCTTAGAATGGTGTAACAAGAATGACATACAATTAAGGGAGGGTCCGTAGCTCAGTGTAGAGCATCTGCTTTGCATATAGAGTATGTTAGATTCAGTTTCCAGCATCCCTAGAGGAAAGTGTTTTTAGGTCTCAGTGCAGGCAATAACAAAATCATTCTGACAACTGCTTCTCGCCAAGTGAACAGTAGTGGGCTAGATGGGCAACGCTGGGCTATAGTGACCTGATGGAAGTCTTCGTATGTTCATATGACCTACTCTGGTGGTACATTTGCAAGATGATGCTACCTGTGAATTCCTGCATGTTTGAATCAGGCCCTCAGAAAACTAAATATTCAGTTCAATGTTATTTATGGGATTTGATTCATTACCCCATAATTTTATAGTGATTTCTTCTGAATGTACCATCAGCTTAATATTTGGATAGGTTCAGTGTTGATAAGTGATGTCCCCACCAATGTCACTCATATTTTCTTAGTGTTAAAGGGTTCACCATGTATGATAGAGCCATTTTCATACAATATATTCATGCAAATCTTCCAGAAATCTAATGAGCCAGCTCCATTTTTAAAACCAGTGTCCAGGAGTTGTCCTCATGAAACACATAGTTCAACAAAGGTAAAAACAACCTTTTGTTAATGTTTACTGTAGTAGGATTAAGCCCACCGTAGTTTTGCATTTCCATTTTTATGGATCTTTGCTTTCCTAAAAGTGTGATGGTTCATTTTAAAGTAGGGTCCATAAAGATGTGATTATGAAATGTCCTCCTATATTGTCTTCACTGAGGCTTGATTAAAAGAGATGATCTTGACAGCATGGTGAAGCATCTCTTGGCAGAACATAGCAAGAGATGCTTTACCATACTGCATAAATAACCAAGATCTCCACAAGGTCACTATTTTGTGGTGTGGAGAATATGCATATATTAATGTGAGCTTAGGTACATTGACTTCTGTGAAAAGCTCTGATGAATTTAACCAGCCAGACAGGCTTTTTCACAGTGCCAAAACAAACTAACAAATCTACCTTTTTATTTCAGTCTGTAACTTTAACTAAAATGCCTAATATCTGGGTTTTTATACTTCTTTTTTCTCTCTTCTTTTTCTCTCTCATCTTTTGAAAGTGTTTTCATGGGGTGAGACAGAAAAACAAAAGGGCCAGAAATAAATTTTCATTGCAGTCCAAAATGAATCACCCCCTAAATGAACAAAAGCACTTCAGTAATCGCTTCTACCATCACTTGGAGTTAGACAGGAAGCTTATTTTGTATGAGCAGAGAAATGAGGGACATGGGCTGACTGAAGTGTTCATTTCTGAAACAGCCTTTCTGTTGGAGCATGCACATTATAAGCAATTGCCAATGTACATATTATAATTTTAATTTATTTTACATGTGTTCGAGCTTTGTAATTGCAGTATTTATAGGCATGAAATGGAAGCTGATTATCAGTCCTTTTCTTAAAACTCTGCATTGGTGAGCATCATTGCAGAAAATAGGTCTTTTGCTAGCACAGCACTTTGAGGACTGGAGGTGCATGTTAAATATGTAGATTTAAAATGATTTTGGAAACGCGTATTTATTATTTAAACATACATTTCAGTTATGGGCTTGCTAACATAATTACAACCTTTCTCACTCAGGGAAGTACATCAAAACATAATTTGTCACATTAATTGTATGTGGAAATACAGATACTTGAAGCCAGAGTTTTCAATTAATCTTCTGCTGCCATAATGAAAATGATTTCAAAAATGACAACATTTTTATGTGTGTGCGTGCAAAGGAATAGGTTACACCTTATTCACTTGGATTATGTAAGTCATACACAAACAGCAATTGTATATAATTTGTGCCAACAGTATAAAAAATCCATTGGAAGAAGTAATTATTTTAGTTTAGATTTGAACCCAAGTTCTTCTTTTGACTCCTGATTATAAGATGAGCTGAGCATTCCTCCTCTATGGCATGGAAGCTCAGGTGGCATTTAACTTACCTGTTTATGCTTCAGTGGGATGGGTGTAAGTCATATGGAGTTCAGGCAGAGTTCTGATTATGTGTAATGTGTTTTTTAATTCTTGCTAGTTATGTTTTTGGTGTGATTTGTTTTTAAACAATGTTAATATGAATAACAATAATATTATAGTCAATATTTGCAATAGGTTACAATAAGTTATGGAATTCAGTGTCCTAGGATGTGATGATGCTAGTGGCTTAGAAGTTGTTTCTTTTTAATTCAGGGAAGTTGCTCATATCCCATCCAAGGTGGATACATGTATCAGAGGCTATCAAACACAAGCCCAAATGAGTGGCAGATACTGTTCTGCATGTGAGCTTCCCAAAGACATCTGGCTGGTCATTGCGGAAACAGAATTATGAATTAGATGAACTTTGGGACTAATTCAGCTGGGTTAATTCAGTTTTCCATGACTGAGCTAAATGGGCTTTTTGTGATGCAGTTTACATATTTGTTTTTGGTTAAACAGGTCCACCACATGGAATGGGGTAGTTGAATTAAAGACATAGCACTGGGGGAGATGGACTTTAGTTCTTTGTCCCCAACACTTATCAACTCAGGTTACTTCTTCCTCATACCTGCTATTCATGATGGGAAGAAAGCTGCCATGGGTGCCCTTTTGAGATTCCAGTAGTGACTGTGTGAGGCAAAGGGTTAAAATTCCAGTCCCCACATTCTGTGGTCTGGATTCTCTTTTCATCCACCACCTTGCACTGGCTCTTCATTTTTCATTTAACAAAAATCAGCTATGGAATGCCAGACTACTTGACAAAGCCACATCTGGTTTGTCCCTCAAAGACAGCTGGAGAAGAAAACAGAGAAAGGAGAGGCAAGAGAGACAGAGAGTGAAAGTCAGCCTTTTGGGATGTACCATTAAATTACCATTCAGTATTTCAGGCTTATATGCTCCCACTTTTACTTTCAGCCTTTGGAATGTCCAAGAGATTGCAAATCTTCACTTCTGCTTTTAAGTGAACCAGAATTCCCTAAGTTTGGATATATCTGAGAACTCTGTTTTGTTTTATGCCAGATGTTTCCCCTTGTGGTCACATCAGTAGACGAGAAGGGCAAAAGGGAAGCATAAGCTAAAACTATGTTCAGTGTGTATATGTGTGTGTGGGGGTTGCATCTGATAGAGAGATGCATGCAATGGAAATGGTGGCAGAGAGAGAAACAGAGGAGATATTTAGAGCTGCACAAGGTTTATGAAGATAAAATTTCCTGTAGTATGCTTATCAGATGGTTGGCATGAATGATCTGGAATTTATCACTCCAAAACTTAGTGTGGATTTCTGGTCATTCCCATAGATGAGGGACTGAACCTGAAAAAGCAGTGGCGTGCTCAAAGCCACCTTCTGAGTTCATCAGTAAAGTCAGATTAGTTTGAGAGCTTCCGAAGTTATGGTTGTTATACAGCCTGTTACATACTCCAGGCTCAAAATATGAACATTTGAAGAAGCGCTTCTGCAGCCTGTTTTTAAGGCAT